AGCGAATATTGCTTCATTTTGCGCAAGATTATGTGAAAAACTATTGTGTATAAGTGAATTAAATTATCGAAAATTCATACCAGGAAATTACATGTCCATTACATACGTTACTGGTTTATTTCTATTTATGCAATTAGTGAAACACTCAGCCGAAACCTTGCAATAGCAATAATGCGTTGCACTCTCAACATATTTACTGCTTCCCCTTGAGTCATCATTCAGATGAAATTAATATGACTAAACGTTTTCGCTTGTCAGTAAATTCATAAATATAGAATAATAAAATGAGCGAAACATTTGACACGACAATGTTATGTGAAGCAATTAGATAGCCGGAAAGAAGCCCATTAAACGTTTGAAATTGAATCAAGTACTCTATTACAGGAGTAGAACGAACACCACTACATATTGTTATTCAACTTTGCTTGTTCAAATAGCGAACTCCATCCATATTGCTGCATTTCATTCAGCATTTATAAACTCAAATAGCTTTCAATCGTCAATCGTACAATGTTGCTGCTGTTATTGCTTTAGCTGTTAGCAGAACAATAAGGCCGTGTGTACAATGCGACAATGCTCACTGTTTATCCGTTGTCCATAATGCAGCCGATACGATACATCCCCTGTATATCCTTCTTCATTCGTTCACACAACAAACCCCAATCAACGTTTCAAATCAATGCATAAAAGCCACCAACAAACCAGTGAAGAGGACGCTATTTGCCGTATAGCCTATAATTGTTACCGCGATCGGCAACCGTCCACCGACCGACCCTGTGACCGCCCGTTGAGCGTTAATTTGAAAGGTAACGATGAGGTCACATTTGAACGCTAAATAATAAACTCCTCACTCACACACATACACACACACAACTATGGCTCTGTAATCATCGAAAATTCCCGTCCCGTCCACAATAATATTAGCTCATTTGCGTTTTCCCTCACCTAATTTAGTTCTCATCTCGTCTCTGTTCACTTCGTTTCGCTTTTCTGCACTTTACGCCTGTCCTTTCCAGTTCATTCAGTCATCATCGTCACCCTCAAAGTCACACACAATTCACAAATCATTCATCTATTTTTAATGCGTTCTCAAATCATTTCCTTGACTTCGCAATGCGACAATACTGCCATGAAACTGTTATCTGATGAATATCATTAACTGCGCACATTTCAATCCCATCAGATGCATGTGACAACCTCAACAATAGCACATATGAATAATTCAAATCACCACTCATAAAATTCATTTCTCCAAACCAAGTTCAGTTCATTTCAAAGTGGTCGCGGAATGAGAAAGGAAAAATTGATCCCAGATTCACATGCAATTGATCAATTGTAATAATGAAAATTACCAACTCATTTCAATGGCGCCCAAC